CCTTCATAAACATGCTTTAACTTTTGGTCAGCCCTCAAGTGGTCAGGGAGTTACAATAGATAGTCATTGTAGGTCACTTCCAACAGAGCCTGTCTAGTTTAGATAGAAAAAAAATATGTTCAGAAATCTGTTTTCTTTTTCATAATGAAGGGGTTTGGGTTCAAATTCAATTCAAAAGTTTAATGGAAAATGTAATAATTATGAAACTGATTTAAAAATTCCAATGTTGCTGATATCATATGGTGCTGGAAAATTGTTCTGCTTGAGATAGGTTTTTCTGATTTATTTTACTCTAGTACAAAAATTGATTAATTTTCACTCCAAAAAGTCTTAAAGCATGATTCATTTCCCATTCCTTTAGAATAAGCTGTAGAGGACTTAATTCTTTTCCACATCTTTATTCACTGTATTACATGCTTATTCATGGTGTTAGCTTCAGAAATCAAGTGTTATTTCCTGGCAAAGTCATGCTATTTGAAGTGTAAATGCTGTTTTATCTGCTAATTTATTATCTGTGTTTTAGAAAAATGAGATGTAGCTCTTTGAGTTACTCATTTTGTATCAGGAACAAAAGCAGCACCTATCAACAGTGGGTTTAGGAATCACTGACTCCATGTACTGTAAAGTATTGCATTATATCTGTATTTGGTAAATACTAGTTTTTGGTTTGGGTTTTTTTTGTTGTTGTTGTTTGTGTGTTCCCTTTTTCTATATGAAACCTTCAATGAATGGTGTTTACTATTTTGATGCTGTGATACCACTATGTTATTTGTTGTTCATGTTATTTTTATAAATATCTTCTATTTAATGAATAAATAGAAACTTACTATGTCCTATAAAAACTACTTTAAATTTAACACAACTTGTTCATAATTTTACTTATGAATTTTGATTTTTATTTTGGTTTTAATGTTTTGTTTCTTGAATTGCAGTTTCAATTATGCAGTAAAAATGGGCCTTATTCCTTAATCTGCATAGTAACTTGTGATAACTAAGAGTCAGTGTTTAGAAATGAGGCAACTCTAAAAATAAAATCTAAAGAGCAATTGACATCTAAAATGTCAATTTAGATTCTCTGCTCTTATACATATTTTTTTAACAGAAGCTTAAAACACATTCTGGGGTAGAAATTAAGACCATTAAGCTCAAGCTTGGTTACTAACACATTTCTATTAGCAGTTAACAAGCACAAAATAGAAAGAATTCATTTATTGAACAAACATGGCAAAACTAGTAAATAGGGAAATGTTCTTTGATTAAAGAAGTTACAGGCATCCTGTTTTTATTGCAAATCATACAACACCTTTGTGTAAAATTAAGGTGCTGTGGGGAGAATTTTGAGATACAATGCTTAATGTTGTTATGGATGAATCTCAGTGAGTTTTGAAAAAGTCCTCTGTCAAAGAAGGTGTCCTAAACCCAGCACTGAAAATTAATTTTTTTTTTTTTAATATTCAAGTCTAAGCAGAAATGTTAAATTTAGAAACACCTGTCTCTGCTGTAAACTAGAAAATTCATTGCAATAGAGGGTTTTTTTTTAAATAGTGTTGAATTACTGTTTGCTTGTCCTTAGTCTTGCACAGTTAAAAAAAGTAATACCTTTAAAATAGATTGTTGATATAAAATACAACATATTTTCCTGGAAAAATAAATTTGAGATGTTCCTTTCCAGTAGGCTTGGTCGGATCAAGAGCTTAAATGGCAATGAAAATGTGGGTGGTGTGAGGGCAATGATGTTCAGTGCACGGTGTTGAGAGAGGAGCTCCTCATTTGTGTTTGCTGTGGCCAGACATCTCTGCCAGCAGATGGTTGGAAGTCTGTTTTGCAGGTCAGCTGGTTCATACAAGTTACTGCCAGGAATCCATGGACAGCAATGGAAGGCTGGTGGAGTGGGTTTTTAATCCCCAGAGCCTTGTTATCTTCAAATAAATAACTAACGAGTGGTTTTGCATTAGCAGACCAGTGGGTTATATGCAGTGATTCGTGCATTCTTTAAATTGTGCCTTTTTCTGAGCACTTGAACATTTTGAAGACATTCACAGATGTGCTGGCAGCATCTGCAGCATTTCATATTCTTGATCTTGAGCAAACTGCAGAGAACCACTGTCCAGTAGCAAGTCAATAACATTCCACTCTGGCACCAACCTTCATCCTTTCACCTGGACATTGGATTAGACTCTGTTACCCACACATTTCCAATAGTCTTATGAAGTGATGACCACATTCCCATTGTTTTGTGTGTTATCTGGAATTATGATCCAGATCATCAGTAAATTAAAACTGAGTTGTCAGCAGTACAATTCTTTATTTCTCTATGCATACTGATTGTTATTTATACAAAAAAAATTGTAGTTTGCATTTCTAAAGTTTATGATTATAACACTATTTGGTTCTAACCTGTATTTCTTTTTATCAGGAAAAAATACTAGTAGTTAGTAGCAGGTCTCTTTGGAAAATGGTGTATTTCTCCATGTATTTCATATTCACTTTATCTGTAGTGTCATGTTATTTTAAGTTGCAGCATATGTAGGCCAACAAAAACTGACATAAGGGAAAGCAGCATAATACAGTGTAATGATATGTGACACATGCAGAATGAGGAGGAAACTTGCTTTCTTGGAACTAGTACCTATTGCTTACTGTGTTTGCCATTAACATACTCTCCTCCATGAAACACTCTCCCCTATGCAATCAAGGTACTCCTTACCTATGTCAGAAAATACCAGCTTGTCTTGAAAAAAAACCAGCAAAATCATCAGTTATTTTTTTGAGATGTTGATTCACAATTCATAATTCAACCCTGATTCACAAACTATTCTTATGCAGAAACAAGGAATTAATCTTGATATTTTTCCTTTACATTTTAGTTCATAGATTAATATTTCACATCATTCATATTTGTGAAAGGTCAAGCTATGTACTCTTATTCATGTGAACCTTATAGACAGCTTCAAAGAGAAATATAAGCCAATAAAAAGTAAACTTAAAAATGTAAGTAAATAAAATAAGTCAAATATCAATTCTAGGAAGGAAGCAAGATAAACTAATCAAGCTCTTTGACATGCTCTGAGTTTTGAACATGTATTTCACAATAGATTGCATTTCACTGCCCCACAGTGAACTGGATTTGAGTACAAATACGGGTAATAACTACCCTTTTGTTGTGTTAATTTTAACATGGGTCAGTTCTCTGCTTGCACTCATTGCATGGCTGCCAAATGCTTCCTTCTGTCACAGAAAAAGCAACGGCAGGAAAGGTGAAGAGCGAGAGAGAAACGACCCAGAATCACTTTTCTTGGCAGCAAGAGTGGCAAAGTGAGTGTGAAGTTCTCACAGAGGAAGAATTTGGTATTTAAAGAAATAGCAACTTCCCTCATTATTCATGTAGTCAAGTCTGAAAAATATACGAGAAATCTAAGTGAATGTATTTTGTCAGAATTAAAATGCAGATGGAACTAGGAAGCAGGATATAAAAGTTTCATAATATATTGTCTATACAAGTTGATAAACAGCAGGAGTTACTCTTATTGATTGGTGAAGAATTTTTTTTTCCTTAAGAAATAAAAGCACCCCACTGTTTACTGTATTCTTGCTATTGAAGGGATTTATTTTAAAGTAAAATATAAGTGGTCCTAAATTGAAAATAACAGCATTCATGGGAAAACTGAGAGAAGGCTCAAAAAACTGAAGCTAAAGCCAGAACTTCTCTGTTAGTGTCCAGTACAAATCAAGATCAAAGAGCCTAAATATTTTACTGTTAATAAGTATTCTTAAGACACAAGCAAAAAAGTCTTCTCAGAACTCGAAGATAGGTTTCAGTTTTGGTATTTTGTTTTCCACTTGAGCTTAGAAGTTTCACTGAATCTGTGGGATGCCCATTCAGAATTGGCTTTGGAAAATATGCCCAAGTGCTTAAATACTGTAGTAGTACCTGCCTTATAAATGAAATTCCTTATGTTTATTCACTAATGAGTTATGGAACAGAAAAACATGGCTTTTTTTTGTACTTGTGGGAAACTTCATTTTGTGACCATAGGGTTTTAGTAGATTATTGATTTCCATAGTGGTACCTGTCAAAGTATTTTAATAACTTCTGGTTTTGGTCTAACTTAGTCTAGTTAATATTATATGCTTCCTATTGAAAAATAGTAGAGGTGCTTATAGAACTTTAAACTAAAATTTTCATTATAAATAAAAAGTATTTTCTATAAATAAAGATTCTGCCCAATTTCATCATGAAGACAGCAGACTGACCACTGCTTAAATTGGAGTAGCACCTGAGAAACTGCCCTGCACTCATTTCCCAGACTGAGCTAAAGAAAACAAATTTGATCATATTGCCATGGTATGAGATCTGGATTTTGTAAGATTAGGTAGATGAGATGTCAGTGTCTCAAATTCAAGATTGTGGTATTTAAGTTGTGAGTGGTTGTTTTTTTTATTTGTGGCATTTTGCCATGTAAGTAAGGATCAAAAGAGTATGAAGAAGGCAAATTGACTTCATTAATGAAATAAAACGGTAAAATTTTCTCAGGTTTCAAAACCATCAGGAAGGCTTTTCTGTATGTGACATGTCTTGATTTCAGAATATGCTGCTTTTAACTTCTTTTAATATAATACATGGGAATGTGTGCCAAAATGTCACCTATATTTAATTAAATATTACCTCAAGACGGGGATACGGAATTTTGTTTCTTTGTATTTACAAGAATTTTCATTTTGAGAGCTGTTGGTCTTTATTCTTAAACTGATACATGTAATATTCAAATATTTCGGGGGATTTTCTCACTTTAATGCATATAAAAAGGTCATTATCTACTGCTGACTTTGAAAACTTTGTGAAATACAAAGTTCTCTACGTGCAGGAAACTCTTGTGCCGTCGGGTACATCGACGACCGCTTTCCCCACTGTTGCCTGGTGTTTAGACTGTTGTGATTCTGCTGATGTAGCTGATGTTTTTTTTTCTTCATTATTCCTCTGCCTTTGTCCTTTCCTCCAGGCTTACCCTGAGTTTGTCCTGACCTACCTAGAGGAACTAAATGAAAGAGAGGAGGTGACCCAGACAGAAAACCGTATTCACCATGGGGCCTGGTCTGCAGCTCATCAGGAGATAGACAGCAGCTCAGCAGAAGAGGTCACAGTATTAAGCCAGAGGCAGGTCAGAGACAGTCCCTTCAAAAACACATTTTGAAAAGAGAAATATCAGTGTGGAAGTCAGCTTATTTCCTTAAAAAAAAAAAATAACCCCTTTGATTCCTTAATTTCATAAGATATTTATATATTAGGCAAGTAATAGTTATGTACAGGATTATAAATGGATAAAAAGCTGTGTTTATTTCTGCCTTAGAACAGTTCATGCTCACAGCGCATGTAGGACAAATTTTTGAAATTTCCTATGTGGAAAAAACTCAAGGAAGGAAGAGAAACAACAACAAAAAAACCCAACTCACAAGATCTCCAGATTTGTTCCTCTTGATGCATCTTGACATAGCTATTTGTATTTCTGACATTTTCTGCTAATCAACAGCCTCGCTTGAAAAAGTAGACACACATTATTTTAATTAGCAATATATAAATTACCCGGTTGTACTTTCATCTCTTAGGTTCTGCAAAAAAAAAAAATATGTCAGCAACCCCAATCAGAAACAACTTTCAGGACCTTTGGACGCCCGTTTAATGCCTGCAGATCCCCTAGGGGAGACTCCACAGCTGACAGTGGCACTGGTGAGGAAACCAGAAGCGAAACATCCTAAGGCCCCAGCTCAAAGGTAAGCCACTGACAGAACTGATATTTATTGTTCAATGACATTAGATGTTTTCCTTCAGTTTCATGTAAGATTGATTTCCTGGATATTATTGAAATATCTCAGAAACCCTCTGGCTGAGAAGCAAACAGGGATTTTGACCAAAATTAATGAAAAGGGGTGACATTTATGAGCTTCTTTTTTTAAATTTTTTTTTTATTTTTTTTTTTTATTTTGAAGATTGATGTGGACGATGTTTGGTAGTAATTGTAAGTTTAGTTTTGAATTTTTTTCTCTACGAACCTCACATCATGCAAGTTACATAAAGAAATAGGACTTGTATCTACATTGTGACATGTTTCGTGCCACAAGACTTAAATTTAAAGGGTAAAGGTGTTGTTAGAAAGCTGAAAGTCATGCTGGGCCAAAATATTAAGTGAAAGTCACTTAAAAGTAGGACTGTATTTTAATTTCAATGAAAGATAAAGGGTAGTGTTGTTATTGCTTCTACTTACAACAGGCAGAAGACTTTGCCTTTCTTTAGATAACTGAAACTGTCTTATAGAAATGGCATTTGGCTACTTACTTTTGAGGTTTTGGGTATTTTTAGATCCAAACATTAAAAATGAACCTCCCACTCAGATGAAAGACCACAAGACATCACTTGCTATTAGGATTAAAGTTGAACTCATTAGTGTTGTTACTACTGGCAATAAGTTAATGACAGTGATTTGCTAGACTAGAATTTCAGGTGTTTCCTTTATAATATTATTTTACAAATATTTAGTCTTTCAGTATCTGAAATGTGCCTGAAGACTCTGACATGACTGAGGTACCTGAAGGTACTGGCTATCAGCAGCTTTTGGGGAACTGTGTAGTTAGGGGTAGGTTACCTGTATTTTGGATAGTTTTATTTTTTATTTGATGAAATAAAAGGTAAACTTGGGCTCTAACATTAATATTGACTATATTGGCTCTTTCAAAAGATGCCATCTGCAACGGAATGTGACGGTTTGTCCAGCATCACTTGCTCCACAGTGCTTTGAATATGAATTATTGTGCTGTAAATGGGTAATGTGATGTCAGGGTCAACTCAAAGTATTTAACTTCATTGAAGTATGACAGAATAAGTGAAATTTCAACTAAATGTCTGTACTTCTAGCCTCAGATAACAGGATGTAAATATTAAGCTAGAAGTCTCTTCTTGCAGAACAAACACATTTGATTTAGAAAGCTGTCTGCAGTCAAGATCTTCCCACTGACAGTGGAGTTATGCAGTCTAAAGCATTTTCCTGAACTTGAATTAAATATAGAAAAATACATTTTAATACCCAAACAACATTATTTCACTGTCAGAAATATTTGGCATTAAGTAGCAATTATAACAAATTCAAAACTGCAGTTACATCTGTTATGGGAGGTACTAAGTGATTTAAATTCTCTTTTGCTGCAATTTTTCACTAGACTGTGATAAGTACTAATGTAGTCTGCTAAACAGCTGCCACATCCCACTCTGTAGTTTGTAGAATCCTTTCAGTGACTGAAAGGTGATGTAAGATTAGGGAGACAGGGTTTTATCTTCTGTGATTTTGAAAAGCTGTTCCATTTCCAAGTAGCAATAAAACTTGCCTTCCTTTACAAAACAACATGAAAAACTGCCATAAGCACAAATTGTGTGTTAGAGGAAAATATATCTCTGTGTCCTAGAATTGTTTCAGTTGGTCCAGACATAGGAGATGAGAAAGTGAAGATTACGATCACTGTCCCTCCAAAGTTCAACTGGATTTTATGAAACTCTTTTGGTTAATGGCCCCACTTGGCACATTGGTAGAATTTCATGAAACTTTTTGGCTCATTGAGAGGGGGGGAAGGAGATTCAACTGCCCAGACACGGGTGTTTGGGCTAATTTTTAGGTGTTAAGGGGTGTATCACCAGGCTTCCAGCTGTTTTGGATGCTGCAAGTCTCCTACCAGTGCTGTGACCTGTTTGTGAGAACTGTGCAGGTGCTTTGGGTACATTGGCAGTGTCAAATATAGCCAGTGCCTCTTTTTAAGCTTTGAGTCATGATGGAATCACAGAATATTGGAGTTGGAAGGGACCCACAAGGATCATCAAGTCCAACTCTTAGGCCCACACAGGGATCAAAGCCACCCTAAACGTTTTGTTTTCCAGGTTAGTTTTGTAGGAATATGCATTGCAGAGACATCATTCTTAGTGTTTTTCTGGTTTGGTTTCTGAGAAACATTCCCACTTTGGCCAGAACAGCATGAAGACAGCCCAAGAAAACCTTATTCTATAGGATGTGATAGGAAGAGCCTTATGAAAAGGGTTAAGTTTCAAAGCATATGGTTAATTAAATTGCAAGCTTGTCTGTTTGTATAATTGTCATACTTTCAGACTTCCTTATTTTTGCTGGTTGAAGGCTGCAGTCAGCCCCTTTCTTACCTGCACATTGTTTAGCCAGTTGCACATTATCCTATGGTATGTGTTAGTAAAGACAACAATGAAGTGAGCTTCTTTGGTTTTGGGGTTTTTTTGTGTGTCTTATCTTAGTGGTCTTGGCAGGTCCTTAGTATCTTTGAGGACATCTTATTGAGTGTTCTTTCCAATGTTGTTTTCTAATGCATCTCACACTTTTAACAATTTGCATGATACATTATGCCTGTAAGACAGAAAAACTTGAACCTCATCTCTAATTTACCTGACTGAATCCCCGACTTTTTATGTGAAAGCTGAAAAATTTACCCATTCCAGAAAATACTATTGAGGAAAAAATGGCAAGTATTGCCCCAAACAGACCAAAATCCAGTCCAAGGTAGTTGCTGGACATGGAGGATTCAAGCTGCTGAGAAGGTGTGGTGGCTTTTAGGATAAGGATGAGTAGAGAAGTGAGCTGTGTGACTGTGACATGTGTACTTCCCTCAGTGCACAAGAACTAATTACTTAACTAAGTGACTAATGACCACTGATTTCCTTCCCACCCTTGTTCTCATTCTCCCTGTTCATGTATGGGAAACAGCTAATCCATTGCCTCCTTTCACTCAAAAATAGTTTTGAATGGACACTTTTATGAAGAAATGACATATTATTATCTTTGCCTGGGTCAAGATAATGACTCAATGTTTCTGGTGTTACCCTGTGGAACTGTAAGCCCTGTAAATTCTGGCAGTGTTTTTAAATTACTTCTCTCATTGTTATGATACTACAGGTTGGGCCCAGCTAGGAAAGTGCTCTTGTATCAACTGTAGCAGATTTGTGGTGTCCTGGCAATACATTCCATTTGTGAATTGTCCCTTTAAAGGTGCTGGTCACATATCTACGATTAATCACCTGTTTCAATGCAGCTTTGGTTTCAGACCTTATTGGATCACTTTGTTGCCATAAGTAAGCTTGATTTAACAAGTTTCTGAATATTTGGTCTCCAATCCAGATATGCATTTGAGTAAGCTCCAACTAAAGTACATGCTAGGTACAAGCATTCTTGGATCTGAGTCAGAATGCTTATGACCTTGTCATATTTAATACTTAGACAGATGCAGCTGGGACACTTGGTTTCATTTTAATTTTTCTGAATCACTTGGACAAATTCAGTTATCATGTTTTTGTAAGACTTAATGGTGTAGGGAAAAATGACTAAGGAATACCCTTATGGAGATGGAAATGTTTGCCCACTTCTGTTGTTGGTTACAGCTAAGCAAACACTTGACCTTGATTCTTTATACACTGTTCATTCATTTTAAATTCCATGTGGGCAAAACATAAGTGAAAGTCATAATGTACATCTGTATTGTAATTGATTACACTATGAAGACAGATGAGAGTATATTAGAAACACAAATTCATTACTGGATTATTGTAAAGATCTATTCATAGATTGCCCATTCCACAAAAAAAAAAAAAAAAGGGGTGTTTTAGGCTGTATTTTCTGCATTTTAAAAGTTCTTGTATTCATTTGAAGTACCCCCTCAGATTTCTATTTGTGGAAAGTCCTTTCTGGTAAAAACATCTTTTCAATGAGTTGCAATGATTTTTCATGATATATCTGCCATGCAAGTGTTATAAAGGTTAAAGCCTTGAATTGTGACAAATTAGCTTTCATTATCTGCTTTGGTCACATCTTGACAAAATTATTCCAAAAGCCGTGTCTGCTACAGATACAAATCCAGCTCTGTGCTCATCACAGGGAGGAAATGTTACACATCCATCTGAAAACGAAAGGGAGGGACAATAAACATCACATTCCCCTTTTCAGAGAGGCTCTGAAGAGATTTGTTTGCATTAGTATATCCCAATTCCAGCAGGTTGCCTTTATTGCACTGGGCTAGGAACTGGGGGGCTGAGGGGGTGTGGGGGAGTTTGTAGCAGCCGACAAAGCACGGTGACCCAGCTTGTCACCCAGTGACCTGTGAGAAGGAAATAATGAACTGTGAGTAGCTGTCATCTTAA